AAAGACATTCAAATAAGGTGACAGTTTTTCATTAGAATGGTTTGCACCCTTAGCATTTCTTGAGTTCAGAGGGAAGAACTACTTTTCAATGAAAATAAAGGTCTTTGCAAAAACCAGGCTTTCATTTATTCTTTCTCTATGCTTATGATTTTCTGTCCTCCATTTATTATTAACCAGTTACATTTCCCGAGTAACTATTCTATGCCTAGTCCTGCTTCAGACACTTTATCAGATTCAATATCAGGAACAGGAATAATATGCTTTACAGTTAAATATGAGGAATTTCAATCATGGGTGGTTAATTGAGGGCTTTATTTCTCTTCTGTTTTATTGAGCTTTTGATCATTTTATTGCTCATTAGTCTGTTTGCTGGTGTGTGGATAAGTGAAAAGTACAGACATAAAATTAAGTGTCATCCATTCAGTCACATACTGATCAAATAAGGGTCTTGCAAAGAAGTTACAGTGAGTCTCCTGATGCGTTAGCTGCTTGTTTTTGGCCAGAATATGTATGTGTTCACCAGATGATTTATGGATTAACAGATAGCTAGTGGTTTAAATGGCTCTTTCCCCTTAGTCAGCAGTTCTCTTAAGATATTAGTTAAATATATCTTAGAAAACATACCATTAAACAGGCAACCACTAAAAAGAGGGATATATATTCTATCAGGAACTGATTCTCTCCATAAGTCTCGAGAGCAGAGGTACTGACTGCTTTTGTTCCAGATGAACTTTTCAAGCACATTTGTATGGAGAACAGTCTTGGAAAACAGATGTCTTCCTCCAGAGCAAAGACCAGGCATGCTTGCCGAAAAGATTCAGATCCTTAAAGCTCAGGGTTATTTTTCTGGAAGTACAACCCAGGGTGTATGCAGGGATCATCAGGCCCTCTTTGCAAAGCTTTATGGGAATTGGGCATTGGGAAGTGAGTCTAAGGAAATACTGAAACTCTGGCTATTGCCATTTTTGTCAGTAACAGTCCTTTATCCCTGACCCAGGCGTCTTGTGTCTTCTGTCTGTATTTATGAAACTGTACCATGTTAGATTGTAGTGTAAATTGTCAGGGTCACCACAGTTCTTGACCTATCTTTTTTTCTTAATTAAATTATCCCTGCTTTATTTTTACTAGTGCTTTTTAAAAATTTGAAGTAATAAGTATACAGTGAGGGATAGAAAGATGAAAAAGTAAGAATTCTTACTAAAACTTCTTTCTGGAAATACATACTATTCTGGAACGTGTTTTGTCAAGAGTCTATGAAGAAAAAAACTCTTTAAAGGTGAAAATCACTCACAGTAACTCTGGCTCTTTCTAAGCTAAAGTTATCAAAAGATCAAACTTTTATTGAGTCCTGAGAAAATACTAGGACAGCTAGTCTTTTTAATGGCTATTTATGATACCATACGTTCACTGTAGGCTTTCCAGGTGGCACAGTGGTAAAGAATCTGCCTGCCAATGCAGGAGATGTGGGTTCGATCCCTGGGTAGGGATGATCGCCTGAAGAAAGAAAATGGTACCCACTCCAGTCTTCTTGCCTGGCACATCCCATGGACAGAGGAGCCCGGTGGGCTGCAGTCCATGGGGTCGCAGTTGGACATAACTTAGTGACTGAGCACCAGCGTGAGCACCCTCACTGCATGGGTTTAACCAGACTCCCACTGATGATTGGAGTTTTGAACTAATACAAACAATCATGTGGTAAATCTAAAATAAACTAAACATAAAAACATTCATAGGTTTCTGTTGACGTGTTTTCAACCACAGCAATCAGTTGGGAGCCATAGGATCATTTCATGGTACTAGGCCTAAGTGTTTTTGAAGAATAAAACAAAACACAAAGCTATTAAGTAGCATGTTAAATAGTGTGTGTAGTGTGTCCCATTTTGAATTTATGAACAAGGAAAAGTTGGAAGAGAAGTCATTAAAGTGCTACTAGTGGTTAATTCTGGGTTGTGGGATTAATATTGACCTTTATTTTCTGTTCGTAATTGTTCATATTTTCCGATTTTTTTTTTTTTTTGGAACTGAGCATGCATTACTTTTCTAATTCTAAGGTTAATAAAACAACTGAAATGAAGAGACAAAAAGGGCTAGGGTGAAAAATTGGGGTATAGACACAAGACATCAAAAGATACGAATGACAAGTTTCGTGTCAAAGACATTCAAATAAGGTGACAGTTTTTAATTAGAATGGTTTGCACCCTTAGCATTTCTTGAGTTCAGAGGGAAGAACTACTTTTCAATGAAAATAAAGGTCTTTGCAAAAACCAGGCTTTCATTTATTCTTTCTCTATGCTTATGATTTTCTGTCCTCCATTTATTATTAACCAGTTACATTTCCCGAGTAACTATTCTATGCCTAGTCCTGCTTCAGACACTTTATCAGATTCAATATCAGGAACAGGAATAATATGCTTTACAGTTAAATATGAGGAATTTCAATCATGGGTGGTTAATTGAGGGCTTTATTTCTCTTCTGTTTTATTGAGCTTTTGATCATTTTATTGCTCATTAGTCTGTTTGCTGGTGTGTGGATAAGTGAAAAGATACAGACATAAAATTAAGTGTCATCCATTCAGTCACATACTGATCAAATAAGGGTCTTGCAAAGAAGTTACAGTGAGTCTCCTGATGCGTTAGCTGCTTGTTTTTGGCCAGAATATGTATGTGTTCACCAGATGATTTATGGATTAACAGATAGCTAGTGGTTTAAATGGCTCTTTCCCCTTAGTCAGCAGTTTACATGGAAACACTGAAGCATGTGATCACAGAACTGAAGGTGGTTTTCTGGTTAGCAGTCATCAGATTTAGAACTTATTCTTAGCCTTTGTAGTAGAGAGCTAGTTCCTATTAACATTCCTTTTTAAATCCTTCTTTCCGTCAGTAAAAATAACAGTCCTAGTTTTTAGGGATGCCATCTTATATCTGCTGTTCATTTGGTGCAAAGTCCTGTGTATGAATAGTGTTAATGAGTCTGACTTCTTTCATAACATTTCTGACCTAGTACCTGGAAAGAATATAGGTTTTCAGCTCAGACAAATTCCTGGTGGGTCTCGAAGAATTTTAATTTATTTAAGGGGAGATGTTCATTTCATGTGGGGGGGACAGTAGTTAATTTGCAAGTCTGTGGTGAGGCTTTAAAAGCTGCCATTAAGCTTGACAGAGTAGTTGATGGCATTTGGTCACATTTTGTTCTCCCAGAAGCCTCTGGCTGACTTAAAAATAAATCATTACAGACCGACCATTAAACTTTATGAACTGTGAATGTGCTTA